CAGGAGTAGTGGAGGCCAGAACCTGGTGAGACGAAGGGATGGCTGCTCCAGGTCGTCGTTTCGGGAAGAGAGCTGGCCTGTCACTTCTCCAATCACTGAGTCGGCCTCGGGGGTCCATGTACCCTACTCTTAAGGTCCCGCCACGATTCGACTGCAGACCTTGGATCGGCTGGAGGAGCGCCCGCCTCCTCTTTCTTGTGATTGGTCGCTGAGCCCGGTGTGATGCCGTCTTCCTGCGGCTGATTGGCTGATAGATGGCGCCGCGGGCCTATCAGCATGAGAGAGGCCTTGGCGTCTCTGGGAGTTGTAGTCCCTGGAGGCCGCCTCACTTCAGGGAGGGTACCGCTGTGCGGCAACGCAGGGGCTGCTGCAGCCGGGTTTTGCCCGGTGCACGGTGGCTTCTTGTCCGGAAGCCCCGGGAGCGCCTTGCTTTTCTGAGGCTGCAGGCCTGAGCTGCCAGGGCCCTCGGGCTGCGCCATCGGGGATGGGATTCCGGCTGTGCGCCTTCCCCAAACCGCGGGCATCGTCCCAACTCTGCCGAGCTCACTGTGCTCATCGCAGGGAGCCAAGGGCCAGGAGTCGGCCAACTGCCCGAGCTGGAGCGTGCGCAGGTTCGGCCGGCCCCCGCACCCCACCGCGAAGCTCTCGCCCCGTTCTGCACCAAAGCGCCGAGCCCGAGTTCATTCCTGGTTAATGAAAATTGGTGTAAGTCAGCCCTTTGCCAGTGATTGGTTTGTGGATCTGTTGAGGGCAGTGCTCTGGGAGAAGAGGTTCCTTACTGTTTAGAAGAGTGGTTGGGGTCTGCGTTCTTTCCTGCTGTTGTTGCCAGTGTAAGCTTCCTGGAGCTGCTGCAGCCTTCTCATCACCATGAGGGCAGTTGGCGGGAAACCTAGTGGCAAGTAGGAAAGCATCTAGGCCCGAACATGAGCTTCTGAAGAACAAAACATAAATACAGAACAGATACAGACTCATAGACATAGAATACAAACTTGTGGTTTCCAAGAGGGTAGGGGGTGGGAAGGGACAGACTGGGATTTTAAAATGCAGAATAGATAAACAAGATCATACTGTATAGCACAATGAAATATATACAAGATCTTGTGGTAGCTCATAGTGAAAAAAAAGTGACAATTAATATGTATATGTTCATGTATAACTGAAAAATTGTGCTCTACACTAGAATTTAACACATTGTAAAATGACTATAACTCAATAAAAAATGCAAAATAAAATAAAATAAAATAAAATAAAATAGAGGGTTATTTGACAACCAGGAAAAAAAAAAGAGTTCTGGACATGGGTGGTGGTGATGGTTGCAAAACAAGGGAATGTGTTTAATGCTGATGAACTGTACCTTTAAGAATGGTTAAAATGGTCAATTTACGTTATGTGCATTTAACCGCAAAAAAAATAAATGTGTTAACTACTAAAAGAAAAGTTGTATCTCCATGCACCATTTCCAGTCATCTTGCACACCACCTCCAGGGAAAGTGGCTCTCAGGAGGAAGGCACCTGAGTTACAATTACACCCTCTAACTTCCAGCACCTAGACAAGCTGCTTTGACCTTTCAGTATTTTTTTTATTTAACATTTTTTATTGATTTATAATCATTTTACAATGTTGTGTCAAATTCCAGTGTAGAGCCACAATTTTTCAGTTATACATGAACATATATACATTCATTGTCACATTTTTTTCTCTGTGAGCTACCGCAAGATCTTGTGTATATTTCCCTGTGCTATAGAGTATAATCTTGTTTACCTATTCTACAATTTTGAAATCCCATCTATCCCTTCCCACCCTCCGCCCCCTTGGCAAACACAAGTTTGTATTCTATGTCTATGAGTCTGTTTCTGTTTTTATTTATGCTTTCTTTGTTTTTGTTTTGTTTTGTTTTTAGATTCCACATATGAGCGATCTCATATGGTATTTTTCTTTCTCTTTCTGGCTTACTTCACTTAGAATGACATTCCCCAGGAGCATCCATGTTGCTGCAAATGGCGTTATGTTGTCAGTTTTTATGGCTGAGTAGTATTCCATTGTGTAAATATACCACTTCTTCTTTATCCAGTCATTCGTTGATGAACACTTAGGCTGTCTCCATGTCTTGGCTATTGTAAATAGTGCAGCTATGAACATTGGGGTGCAGGTGTCATCCTGAAGTAGATTTCCTTCTGGATATATGCCCAGGAGCGGGATTCCTGGTCATATGGTAAATCTATTCCTAGTCTTTTGAGGAATCTCCATACTGTTTTCCACAGTGGCTGCACCAAACTGCATTCCCACCAGCAGTGTAGGAGGGATCCCCTTTCTTCACAGCCTCTCCAGCATTTGTCATTTGTGGATTTTTGAATCATGGCCATTCTGACTGGTGTGAGGTGATACCTCATTGTAGTTTCGATTTGCATTTCTCTGATAATTAGTGACATTGAGCATTTTCTCATGTGCCTATTGATCATTTGTATGTCTTCCTTGGAGAATTGCTTGTTTTAGGTCTTTTGCCCGTTTTTGGATTGGGTTGTTTGGTTGTTTCTTATTAAGTCGTATGAGCTGCTTATATATTCTGGAGATCAAGCCTTTGTCAGTTTCATTTGCAAAAATTTTCTCAGTATTCTTAAACATATATATTTATCAGTGGGATGCTCTGAGTTTTCAGTGAGGTACCATCTGTACAGTGCCAAGCACGATGCCTGGTACGCAGCAGGCTCACTGCAGCTGGCCTGACTACCTCTAGTCTTTTCCCACCCGGCACTGGGTCATTGGGATTCCAGGAAGTTTCTGGGGAGATTTTGTTTGCTTAACTAGTGAGGTGTGCTTGGGGGAGGTGTTCACTCCTGAGCCTCAGTTCCCTCATCTGTAAAATAGGAATAAACCTTCCAGGGAAGTCAGAGCTTCAAGGAGTAGCTGTGGGTTGCCTTGAATATCATGCTCAGCTCAGCCTCCCAACGGGGAGGCTGTGTGTGTGTGTGTGTGTGTGTTATGAGAAAGGGGTGAGAAACAGTTTTGATTCAACTGCTCCAAAGCCATTACGTCTACTCATCCATTGACCTAACTTTCCTCCTGTCCATCTTTAAAGGCCTCTTTAAAAAACTGCTTCCTCTGCTTATCTTGTTGGAGAATATGTAGACACACACACATACATAACCTGTCGCACAGAGCCTGGCACATAGTAAGTGTTTAATAAATGCTCTTTCCTTTCCTTCTTGCCCTTTTGTTTAAAAAAAAAATCCCAGAATTTCCTTGGGCACTAGTAGAGGTTATGTTTTTTTTTGAAACGCACAATTTCTTTAGATATTGTATCAGAACGTTGGGCCTCATCTTTGCCTGGAGATGTTTCCCCAAACAGCAACGGCTGTCTCCTTCTCATTTTTCGGATGTTGAGAGCACAGTTCGTCCCCGAGAGAAGCCTTGTGACGCCTACCTCCATCTGCCCGGTTCCGGTCCTCCAGGGCCCTCGTGGCTGGCGGCAGCCTTCTTTATTGGCTGATGTTCCATATCCCCTCCAGGAGGGCTGTTCTCCCCGGGGCAGAGCCAGGCCTGCAGCCAGCACTCAAAAATGACTGTCCACCGGGCCTTAACAGACTTCAGGGGTCAGTTTTGCTCCACTGATTTCCCTTCATCCTCACAGCCACGCTTCGGGGCTCTCTTCGTGTTCAGATAAACAGGGAGACAAACGTCAGGCTGGGCGAGGTCGCCCCATCGCCTGGGGCTGCAGGGCTGGAGCGGCAGACCTGAGCGCGGACACGGCGCTGCCTGGATCTCCAGCCCTTCTGCTGCCTCTGCGTTTGCTTCCGGTGGAAGGCCCCCCTGCTGAGCTGCCAGGCCTCCTGAAACCCGGTGAGTTTGATCAAACAAATAACAACAACACTTCCAGCTCCGCCAGGTGCCCCCAGGGCCTGAATCTCACAGCACGAGTTTCTCAGAGAGTGCAAAGCCCCAGTCCGCTGTCTCCAGGTGAGCCTCTGCTGTACTGGGCAGGAGTCATCCTTATTCTGAACACCCGCCATTGCATTTGAAGTGGCTTATGCATGGAAGTGTGCGGCCAAAAAGAAAAATCTGTATTCCCAGGCCCCAGTGCCCAGGTTGGG